GTATTTATATTTTTAAAAAGTAATAATACGTCATGGTGGGCAAACAAAACACATTTATGGGTTTCAATCAACCCACGGGCATCAAGGCTGCAATTCTTTCATGGAAATCCTTTCACGTGATCCTTCAAAAAAAATCTCAGAGGCTCAAATTGCTGTGAGCTTGTTCTGGTCCATGTCTTTCCAACAATTCTAGAACCTGTAGGAACCTGATGATGCATCCACATGGACAGAGATCTCAGGATCGAGCTGGGAGCACCTCCGGAGGGTGAAAAATATAGTGGGAGATGAGCCTTATTCACCAGTTGGAGACTGTATCAAAGAATGTTTAAAAAATCCTTCAGCACAGCGCCATGCAGATAGAGGAAACAATTCTCTTGCACCAAAGACAATACTTCTAAAAGCATAATTGTCCCCAAGACGGTGAAGAAAATATTTAATTTTCATCTAAAATAAAAATGTACTTTTCACTAGCTCCCCATATACTCTTCCAGAGCATACCAAGTAACATAAGTTTTCAAATAGAAGGTGCAAGACAGCACATAGTACAGTCCTAGAAAGGGCAATATGTAAATGCATATAAATGGAAATTAACAAATGAAACATTTATTTCTGGAGAACATGGAAGTTATCTCAGACAAGGAGAATTAGAGGAAGCTTCGTATTTATAGTATCCTTATCTATATGACTAGAAGTTTACCTCCAATAAACAAACAGTTTAGCAGATGCTGCTGTCATTTTACATTCAATAAACTCCTACATATGCATCGTAGATGTTACTCTATTAAAAGGCACACTTATTTCTTGACACGTGTCTTTGCTAGGGTCTTAAATTTGGGTTCCAGATGATCTAGAAACTCAAACCCCTCTTCTTCCTGCAGATCCCTGTAGCAGCCAACGGAGCCAGCCACAGACTCTTTTCCTTCATAGTTATAGGAGTGAACGTAGTCTTCAGAATGTTTATGCTCCTTGTCTTTTCCTCACAGATACACCTTCTGTTTTGAAAAAGCACATTTTATTATTTTTAAAAAAACACCTAAACATATTAGCATAAAAATAATGTCTTTGATTTACCTTTTACTGTTTAATTTTTAATCAGAGTGTGTCCTCTAATGGATTCCTACATATAAAAAATGCACGTGGGGGCTTCCCTGGTGGTGCAGTGGTTGAGAGTTCGCCTGCCGATGCAGGGGACACGGGTTCGTGCCCCGGTCCGGGAAGATCCCACATGCCGCGGAGCGGCTGGGCCGTGAGCCATGGCCGCTGAGCCTGCACGTCCGGAGCCTGTGCTCCGCAACGGGAGAGGCAAAAACAAAAAGAGGGCCGCGCCCCGCCCCAAAAAAAAAAAAAAAAAAAGCACATGATTGGTCTGTATTATATTCATTATTAAAACATAGCAAATATATAAATGCTCCTACTGAAGACATTGACGAAAACAAAAGCTCCACATACATCACACAACTAGTTTACAATTTCCCATTTAAACATGAGATTGTATAAGTGAAATGTATCTCTGCAACTTTTTCACATATTTGGGGGAAACCAAAATAAGCTATGATTCTTATGTTTATACACTATTATATATCTATAATAATATAATACATTAACTGGCTAATATTAGTCTATGTTGATTGATCTGAGCATAAAACAAGGAGCTAAAACCCCTCATAAAAGTTTAACAATCTATCTGGTTGATGGCGATAGGATTTCATAACCACATGGAGGATTCAACATACTAAAAATATTTATAATTTGTGATCTGCACAGTACTCCATAACAAATATTTCACTCTAGGTGATTTTCCTGGCAACTTTTAGGGAGGAAGCTATCAGTCTTTTTCCACGTCCTAAAGTATAAAATGCCTACATATGCCACTCCTAGATCAAGTTTTGTAAACCTTATTTTAAAAATTGAACTTTACAAGATCGTTTTTCTCTTTGGGTTTGGACCTATCATCCATCTATCTCTATGATAATTCAACAGGAAAAGGTGATAAGCTCCAGATGTATGAGGAGGAAACCTTTGGGGAAATCCTGATTTATAAGTAGTGTTTACTTTCATGTAATATGAACTTGAAGACACTGGCACTTACTTCGTCAAGCCGAGGCTGGGTGAAGCTGTGTCATTCGTTGTATGTGTATCTGCTGGTGTTCGTCACTCCTTGTCCTACACCCTTGACAGATTCCAAGGTCTGATGTCTGCCTCCTTTGATGGGGTCCAGAGTGTAGCAGCCTTTGACCATCTCAAAACTTTGATGTGTTCTGACTCCCTGGCCACCAAGTGTGCTAACAGACATTCTTGTGTCACAGATGTTGGATTTCTGTGTGGGGAGTCTAATATTTGCTTCCTAAAAGGAATAAATCAAATTGAAACTAACAATTTTCTTTCATTTATTTCCCACCATGGGCAAATCACTTACCTGCTGTGCCTCTCTGTTCCCCATGCATGAAATCAGGATAATAATAGTACCCGTATCATAGGTGTTATAGGTTAAATTGTATCCCTTCCCCCCAACAAAATTCATATGTTGAAGTCCTAACCCTCAGTGCCTAGAATGTGGTCTTATTTGAAGATAGGGTCGTTATAGATGTAACTTGTTAAATTAAGATAAGGTCATACTCTTAAGGTGGGTCCCTAATCCAAAAGGGAAAAGTTGGACACAGACACACACACATACAGAATGCCATATGAAGACTTGATTTATGCTGTCACAGGCCAAGGAACTATCAGAAGCTAGGAGAGAGGACTGGAACAGAATCCTAGCACTTTCAGAGGGAGATGGTTCTGTGAATACCTTGATCTCTTAATTTCTAGCCTTCAGAACTGAGACAATAAGTTTCAATTGTTTAAGTTACTCAGTTTGTGGTACTTTGTTATTGCAGCCCTAGGAAACTAATACAATAGAATTATGAAGTTTAAGTGAATTAATACATGCAGGGCACTTGGAGCTCTGCTTGGCATAATAAGTGCTCAGTAAGCATTAGCTGTTATTATTATTACTATTTTACATAATAATCAACTGTTGTCATTGAACCACCATACAAACCAAAGTGAAATCTGATTTACCATCACTTCTCCGGGTGCTTCAGTATTTGATACAATTAAGTTTTGCTTGGCTACATCTTCTGGAAAACATTTCTTTACTGTACTCTTAGCAGTAACACAGATATATGTAAACAAAATACCTAAAAAATAAAAATATATAAGTAAAATAGCATTTTTTCATGCTAGTATATATTAAATCATTTGAATCATTTGATTTATTTTAAAGTATCTTCAGAGAACTTTTAAAAATCTGTTCCTAAATTGAGATCTCTTTGGGTCATAAAATTTTAAACAGAATATTAACAAATGTATTAGCATACAGACCAGCTCTGTCTTAGTGAGGTTATGTTATTAGGCTAAATAAGATACAAATCAATAAAAAGGAAGAAAGATGAAGTGAACATAGTTTATTAATAGCTCTCTTCCCAGGTTCAGAATTAAATGCTTTCCTTATTTCCTCACACTGAAATAGTAACTTCATTTGATTGGAATTTAAGCTAGTATTATTTGTATTTAAAATCCACACAGAACAACTCAAAGATCTTAGAATCACAAAACAAAGAACATTAGTCATAAATCAAACAGGAAAGGCAATTATGTAAAATCAGTGTCTGGCTTTGAAAGTGTACATCAAGTGCTAAGAGGAATATCCAGTTTAACCTGAAACACAAATCAATGAACACAGACAAAGTAAAGACTATGGGAAAAGTTTGTAAATGCAAATAGGCTGTATGTAGTCAAATAGATTGTTAAAAATAGAAAGAAGGGGGGAAGGAAGGGAAAAGGAGCAAACACAGGAAAGAAGAGAGAGAGGAAGAGAGGGAAGGAGGAAGGAAGGGGAGAAGCCTGGGTAATGATTTCCATCACTTTTGCATCTCCAAAAACCAGTTTGCAGAATGCAAAATCTTAGCATTCTTTGCATCCTTTTCCTCAGTGGCTCACCATATGACCATTTCCCCCACGTTGGAGCCTTATTAAGATGTATGCTAAATCACTTCATTAATATACATTAATAACGTTGAGCATAAACATCTAAGTAAATTTTGAAGCTACTCTTTTCACTAACTCTTTTTGTGCATTCACTACATGAAAGTGACTGGTTGAGAGACTAAGTAGTTACTGATAATAGTTGTTACTGATATAAGTAGTTACTGATAATAGTTGAAGATTGTGAAAAGGTAATTGAGTGTGTATGTTTGTCTACTTCTAAACCTTATTTTAAATTAAGCACATAAGCAAATACCAAGTATAGGTGAGTAAGGAATGTCATAATCTTGGAGCTAGAAAGTACATCTTGGGTTAACTAAAATCTAAACTTACTTGTCAACAATAGGGACTCTGAAATGCCAGAGTTCCCCATTATTTAAGTTTCCAGGAACTGGAAGTTCACTGTTATGAATCAGCCCACTCCATGTACAGAACTCTTTAATTAACCACTAGAAAGTTTTCAGGTTCTTTCTTATCAAGCTATAATATACCTCCTAATCATTTCCAATTTTTTCATGGGTTATTTTGGACTATACACAAAATGTTTACCTCTTCCACATGACAATCCTGAAATATTTATTTTAAGAAAATTCTTCTTACAGCCAAATATATCAAAGCATTTGTAAACTTTTGAACTCAAGTTTCTATAATACATGAAAACTAATTGTTCCAGGTGCCTATTATGCACCTGAACTTGCAAAGCTCTTGGTAGTGGAATTCACAACCTGGACCTGGAGATTCACAGGGCTCTCAAACAACAGAGGAATGACAAATATCAGTACGTACATGAAGCAAACATGCCAAGATCTCGGCCAGATGCTTGGTAGAAAAGATATTTAGCAATGATAAGGGTCCTTGTATGAAAATGAGTTCAGAGTCTAGCTAGAGGAAAAGAATGTACACGAGAAACAATGAGAGCACCCTTTTATAGAGAAGACACATCACCTGTGATAATTACGATACTACTCCCAGGGAAGGAGGGCGTAAAAGGTGTTCATAGAAGAACTGAACAGGGACTTCCCTGGTGGTGCAGTGGTTAAGAGTCCGCCTGCCAGTGCAGGGGACATGGATTCGAGCCCTGGTCTGGGAGGATCCCATATGCGGCGGAGCAGCTAAGCCCGTGTGCCACAAGTACTGAGCCTGCATGCCACAACTACTGAAGCCCACACACCTAGAGCCCGTGCTCTGCAACAAAAGAAGCCACCGCGATGAGAAGCTCGTGCACCACAGCAAAGAGTAGCTCCCACTCATTGCCAACTAGAGAACGCCTGCGTGAAGACTGAACAAAGACTAGTGAGAGCTACCACAGAAGATGTCACTGCCATTCATTTGAAGAAGCAAAGGGACCTGAATTTCAAACAGGAGGGGCAGTCTAATTCTAGGTGGAAGGTGTATAAAACGGTGCTTTCTAGAGTGAAAGCAGGGAAACCAGCCTTACTGACAAAAAAATTGACACAAAAAATACAAGGAAATAAACTGGATTCTAAGAAAGCTGGAATACCTAGATCATCATCATAAAATATTTATGAGTATCAAGACTAAACATTCATTTGGAAATATAAGTACTTACTTATATATTTTGCCTTTGGAAGCATATATTAAATGGATTAAAGTTCAAATAAACAAAATCCTTTATGACACCATACGGTCTTCCATTAACATTTATAGCACCCTTATCTTTACTTCTTGAGCACATCCAGGTTATCCATGGGCCTGGGACATAGACTCACAAAGTTTAGATTTGACATTTCATTTCTTTGTGCTATGATCACTGTATTTAAAGACATTCTTTTGTCACCAAAAGACCAAGTTAATTTCTTATATCTCTGTTTTCCATATTTTCCTTCTCTCCAAAACGTACTTCATTTTCTATCACCAAGCTTCTGCATTTCCGTGAAGTTTCCTCCCTTTATCCTTTAATCTGGGTGGGCAACTCTTTAACTGATTTCCACTTCTCATGATATGCATACATTCTTTGATGGGGAAAATTTTCATACCAGGGAATCTGTTATGAGAACATAATAATCCCTCAACTGATATTGTGTGAAAATTTGACCTTGTCTTATGAATCCTAATTTTCATGGCCTAGTACTTGGAACTTAAAAGACAATCAACATTTGTGGAATAAGTGAGTAAATATAAATCCTTGTTTGACATCATAATTGTGTTCCTGAACCATTCAGATTTCACTTTTGCTTATACAGAAGCAGCAAATCACCAGGATTATAAAGGAGTGGCAATGTTAACTATATTTCTCAGTTAATGTTTCCCCCTTTCTTTAGTAGATTTTTTTTCCTACTTATACTGAAAGAATTACATTAAAAGATTGTGTGAGAGTTATCAAGAGGAAAGGAAGATCATATGCACATGATTAAGTAATAATATTCAAATTGAGGTTTTCTTTCAGGTTTTGAAACCTAAAAATTTTTGGCTTACGGGCATAGTTCTTTCAAACTGCTTGGTCATCTCACTAATTATGATGTGCAACAGACCATTTGCATCCCAGGGTAACAGGAATAGACCAAGGCTGAGAGAGGAAGTAAGGAAAAAACCTGAATGGGACACATGTAGATGAACTGGCTTGCCCTTCCTCTATAAATCATAAGCAGCAGTATCTTCATTAGCTTAACCTTTGTCTCTCATCAGAGAATCTATTTTTTTCATAGATGTGACTTTTAGTGTAAAGCTATAGAAAAAAGTATGGGTATAATACATGAGAAAACATCTGTCTTTATCTTATTATCAAAATATCAAGGGGCAAAATGAATAAACATGAAACATTTCATGACTTACTTTCAACTTTTGTTTATTTCCGTGAGATTTGATATGTGTTTGTTCATACACTCGCCCATTCCTTCTAAAGAAATTCAGTGATTCTATAGAAAAAGACCACAACATTGCCGTTCCAACTTGTTTGTTTTGAACATCTAGTGTATAAAAATATGCTAACCATAAAAATAATGGAAACCACCTTGGATTAAGCAGATAGTCAAAAACATAGGCTCTGTCATAAAAGCCCAAGTTCATTCACCTTTATCATCAATGGAAATTTACCCCAAATGAGTGAGTGTGTAATTGGTGTGGTGGAACGCCATATTGTAACTTCTATTTATATTTTTTATCATCTTCTTTTAATATCTATTTTTATGATATATACATTAGCATAGTAGTATATGTATATAAATAAACACACTAGTAAATATATGGGAGTGGTTATGGACTGGTCTCAGCCTATCAATAACCAAGGTTGTGGCTGAACTGGCCCTTATGGTTCCTCTTATGATTGCAAGATGCCCTAAGTAATAATGATCAGGAAACATTGAAAAAAAAAAAAAGTTTATTGCTTACAAGTCCTGGAAATTACATGGCACACTTGGGGCCACAGAGCAATTGTAAATTTGTGGGGAATGGAGGGGGTGGGGCAAGGGAGTGACACCTGGGATTCTTCTTTTATTGAGGTGGAGGCTGGGGCCTTGTGTTTCACAGGCTCACTCTTAATTTAAAACACAAGAGCAGGAATTTAAAGCACAGGGAGAGATAAAACCAGCAGCCCAAATGGTGAGTTACTGAAATCAACCAAGATCTCTAAAACAAAGGAGCCTGGGGAGATGGGGTAGGGGTCAGCCTGGCTCTTGATCTAGTTCTGTGGTTAGCAATGTCAATCAAAGCTTAAGTCAGGCACTTGCATTACAAAAAGAGAAGCCAACTGACAGGGCTTACACTGCAAAGGTTCATATTCAAAAATGATTTACTGCTTGGAGGATATATTCAAAAGAGTTTTGAGATCTCTACATTAGGACATTTGAAGGACATTTCTTCACAAAACAGGTTCTAGAATTAATCTTGGAGAATGATTGCAAACCTCAGCAAAAGACGTTAAAAATCATTGTTTGACCATTTATTTAGGAAATAGGATAAATGTTTTATTCCCCAGTAAGAGAGACTCAGAACAAATCTATCTGAATTCAACTGTTGAAGGTGGGCTGAATCCCTCCAGCAAGTTCAAATCAGAATAATCTAAATCCGTACTCCTGAGAAAAATAGGGATCCTTGATGATGCCACTATGTCCATGGAAGAAGTCAAATAATATGGACCTCGAAACTGGGACTTGGCCCATTCACCACCTCCTAGTTTTGCATTAGTGATGCACTGGGACCTAAACTGGGTGTTTTCCAAGCAATTAATCAATCATAATGCAAACATTTTTTGCATTAAATTTTGATCTGGAAACAAACAAATTTAAATTTAGCCCCAAGATTTCCTAAAATATGTCCTATATTTATATTTTATTTCTAGAAAATTGCACTCACCTGCATCCATTGCAATCACGGAAACATTGTATTGGTTGTCTTTTACAAATGTTGATTTTCTATCTAGAACTTTTACAGTTTTCAAGTCACCAGTGTATTCATTAATTTCAAACCAGTTATCTTCATCTCTGTTTTTTTCTTTTTTACATCTTTATTGGGGTATAATTGCTTTACAATGGTGTGTTAGTTTCTGCTTTATAACAAAGTGAATCAGTTATACATATACGTATGTTCCCATATCTCTTCCCTCTTGCATCTTCCTCCCTCCCACCCTCCCTATCCCACCTCTCCAGGTGGTCACAAAGCACCGAGCTGATATCCCTGTGCTATGCGGCTGCTTCCCACTAGCTATCTACCTTACGTTTGGTAGTGTATATATGTCCATGCCTCTCTCTCGCTTTGTCACAGCTCACCCTTCCCCTCCCCGTATCCTCAAGTCCATTCTCTAGTAGGTCTGTGTCTTTATTCCTGTCTTACCCCTAGGTTCTTCCTGACATTTTTCTTAAATTCCATATATATGTGTTAGCATACGGTATTTGTCTTTCTCTTTCTGACTTACTTCATTCTGTATGACAGACTCTAGGTCTATCCACCTCATTACAAATAGCACAATTTCATTTCTTTTTATGGCTTGCCTTCTTATACATAGTTTTTAGAAATCAAATGTAAATGCTCAAACCAAAGAGTGGACATAATCTCAAAATCTGTCATCCTAATAATACATAGAATGTTCCCAAATTTGAAATCAATTATCATCACAATTAAAAAGAAGGAAATTTTGAAAATACATTACCTTAAGCCCTCAGCAGTGCTGCTGTCCGGATCCACTGCTTCGTATCCAAGGAGTGTTGTGCCCACGGGAGGCCATCTTTACTCTTATTAACTTTTACTGGTGGTTGGCATTCGGGGCCCTCACCATGGTCTTTAACTTTAACAGTGACAGTTGTAATGCACATAGTAGGAGTTTGTGGGTTTGCTGCTTTAGGGAATTGTGCTTCGTTAAGTACACCAATTTGCAAAACCATTTGGCGATGTACTTCATAGTTCAATGACTGTTCGATAAACATACCAAAATGAGTCTCTGTCTATATATATATACATATATATAGAAGACATAACTATGATTCCAAGTTTTAGCATGAAAGGGAAAATCATTTTTATGTATAAAATGTTACCAAAAGATGTTGCTAATGTATTAACGACGAATAATTAGCTTCCTATAGTGACAAACACTATCAAATGCAAAATTGTTGATTTTTAAGATTCAACAAATTTTTCTTCTCACTTTCCTTTGGAAAGGTCCTGCTTTCATTTTTTTTTTTTATTACAAGTTTAAATACTAATAGAAATACAGAATAAGTGTTTAAATAAATTCAAATGGACTATTTCTCATTATTTTATTATTATCAAATGGGATAACAGTGATAACTAAATTAGCAAAAGTCCCTCTAAGCTAAGTATATAAAATAATTAGATAGACTGTAACCAAGCAGGACCCTATGGGGCCTTCCCAGGGCAGACTTCTCCCCCATATACTCTGCTTTAGCTCCTTTCTGTAGTACCTAGATAATAGTACCTGATGCACACTTCCTGAGTTGTTTTAAAGATGTGAAAAGCCCCCACCAAATGGAAGATGTTAACTACTTGATGACCATGAGCTCATAGCCCACAGGCCTAAGGACTGATAATGTTAACCCCTATGACACCACCCTGTTAGCTCACCATCAACCAATCAGAGAATTGTGCAGGAGCTGATCACATACTCTGGGATGCCCCTCCCTCACCTTGCCTTTACAAATGGTTTGCTAAAATCCTTAGGGGAGTTTGGAGGTTCTGAGCACAAGCCACCTGTTCTCCTTGTATTGGCACCTTTTCAATAAAGCTGTACTTTCCTTCACTACAACCTGGTGTCAGTAGATTGGCTTTACTGCCAGCGGGCGAGCGGGCCTGAGCTTGGTTCGGTGATAAGACTACTAGGACATGAGATTTGGCTATAATGGAGCAGTTACTCTGAGTATCTGAGTCAAAAGATATAATCATATTATCTAGCAGCACCTTTTCAAAGTATATTATATACAGATTTGTTAGTTCATGAACTGAGTAACTAGAAAGAATCCCAAAACAATAAATGACTAGAGACTAAAATCTATCAAAATAACAAAAAAAGAAAGAAAGAAATCTAGGAAAAAGTCCAAAAATATTTTTAAAAGAAATTTAAAAAGAGAAAGGAAAAATAAGCAATATTATAATTAAAGGACAGTTTCTAAAAATTTTATAAGGAACGCAAAATTTATGCATATCACTTCTAAGAAAATACGTACTCTAACTTCTTTGGGAGTTCATGATCAGTTTACACATAGTTTAGTGACTGAGAAATTAATTAAGCAATTCATTACTTCTCTATCTAGTAAACATGTAGTTGTGGTGATGATGTCTGGATGTACGGAGAAATGCTTTGAATTGTCTGGAATTTGCTGTAAGATTTTATATTTCAGACAAGTATGTAGAGTATCAGGTTCATCGAGGTCTATGGCAGTCACTTTTCCCACTGAAGTTCCTGTTAAATAAATCCAATACTGTCAACAACTTAAAATAGCGATATAATTGAATTACAAACAAAAATAAAATCAAGGCATTGCTGTGGCATATTCTCCCAAAAAACCTGATTTTACTGATTTTACAGATAGGTGGAGAAGTATCTAAATGCTCTCCCACAACTCCAAGTTCCCCTAACCTGGAAACTTCAATTAGGTGGCTACTGTGGATAACATAATTTGTGTTCTGCATATGTGAGAACATCCATCCCACCGATGGTAACAGAGGTTCTCAAATTCTTCCTCTCAATCCAGTTCATGGGCCATTTTTTGATGGGGCCTTCTCTGTATATCTTGTTTCTTTAATACCCTACTTGATAGTGTTAAAGGAAAAGCACAGCTTTGCATATGATAACAAAGGTTTTATGCTTTTATATTTTAATAAATGTGCTGAATTGTTAATACATATAAGACAAACATTATGCAACGGTCTGAATATCATTTGGACAAGCTTTATGGCTCAGAAATCAGATTATTGACAATGTTACTTTGGCAAACCATTTACTGTGGGAAAATAATATTAAATATGCACACAAAATAATATTAAATATGCACATAGAAACTAAGAACATATCTTGCGATGTTTGAGAATGAACTAGACTTGCTATGCCCTTTGGTTTGATGAGGCCACAATCTTGGCTGGTGAGAGCATCAAACCAGTTTAAAATTTTTTCAATTTGTTTGGGAAATAAGCTAAATAAAGAAATGCAGGGCTTCCCTGGTGGCGCAGTGGTCGAGAGTCCGCCTGCTGATGCAGGGGATGCGGGTTCGTGCCCCGGTCCAGGAAGATCCTACATGACGCGGAGCGGCTGGGCCCATGAGCCATGGCCGCTGAGCCTGCACGTCCGGAGCCTGTGCTCCGCAG